TGCTAGGGAGTTTACCCAGGCTTTAGGGGGGGTTTTAGAGACTAGAGAAAGGTTCTAGAGAGAGAGAGAGAGAGAGAGAGAGAGAGAGAGAAGTGATGGGATGTGTGAGGAACTCGACAGCCTTCGCTCATCTATTTATAGGGATGATTGGGGCCACTCACGTCGTGAGTCCTTAATGCTCACGTCGTGAGCTAGCTTGGGCACCAAGGCAAATCCTGGTGCTGACACGTGGCATCGCACATAGAGTGTAAATCAGTCGATTTTCAAATATTTATAACTTTCACATACGATCTCCATTTTCGACATTCTTTATATCCACGCGTAGGTAAAAATAAGATCTAAAACTTTCCTTTTGACTCTGTCGGCTAATTCTCGACCGATCTTAAGTTTAACTGTACGAGGAGATTACACTGTTAAATGTCCGCGTAAAATTCATAACTTCTACATACGGACTCCATTTTCATTTGTCTGTTTACTGTTGAGCTCTTATTAATGAGATCTTTAACTCACATTTAGGTCGCGTTGGCTAAAAACCGCTCGATCTAAAATTCGAGTTTCGGGCTGTGCACTACTAAGCCAAATCTTAAAAAAATCATAACTTCCTCATACGAAGTCAGATTTGGGCGTTATTTTTATGCACGCTCTCGGTTTAACGTATACTAAAACTTTTGTTTAGATCACTAAGGCCAAAAAGTCCTCTATCGTAAATTCACTATTTACGTCGTGTAGTGCCGTGCCATTTTTGTCGCGAAACTTCGACGAGCCAAAACTTCTTCGTTATAACTCGGATTTCGGCGTTCTTTATATGTACGGAACCCTTGTGACATATTCTACAACTTGTTAAGATTTACTCCTTCTAAATAATCTTCCATCAAAAACTCATTTTTGATGCTCGTTGTCTCTAAATTGACTAGCCCGAATCTGCGGGCGTTACATAAACTCACTCTAGCAGCATAATCTGAGGCATCCATGCTATTGTATCCATAGCTTCGCGCCATTAGGATGACTTCCGAAATAGCTTGAGAGATAGAGAGAAAGAGTTCTGGGTGTGAAGAAATCAGAAAGCGAGCACCTCTATTTATAGTGCTTGTGCGCGCGACACACTTCATACGCGACGTTCACTCGACTCGTGGATCAATCCATAGTATGCCACTTGTTACACTTCTGATGGTCCACGTCTCTCTAATCTCGAAGAATGTGGGTGTAGCATCTCGATTTCCAAGTATTTTGCATTTTGACCCGTGGTATAAGTATTGTTTGCGAATTTGGTCCCTCATGGCATTTCTGTAATTTTTGGGAGTGGCTTGCGTACGCTGAAGCGTACGTCGGGCGTACGTGGCATGGACCTAAAACCCTAATATTTAGGGTTTGTGCACTATTTATTCGTCCTTAACTCTCAACGATCCCTTCATTCATCAGCCTCCGGCCTCATATTCGATCCTTGCAACCCTAATCCATTTCTAGATATTTGTTTAAACTTGTGTTGTAATTAATACCTTTTAGATGTATGTTTATTGTCTTTGTGAAATGAATTTGGTTATTTGTATTAGATTTTTTCTTCATTTAGGTAGAAAAAATCTGGATAGTTGCTTACATTTTTGTTTTTTTTACTGTTGTACATTTCCTCGGAAATCCCTAGGAAAATGTCACAAAAATGTTACCAAAACTGTCACAAACAAACTGTCGTAAACCTTCCCAACAGAGGTGTATGTGTAGAGAAATCGTGGATACTGCCTACAAAAGTTTTTTTCGGAAATTTCTCGAAAAAATCCCTACGAAAAGTTTTCCTATGATGGGTTTTCCAAGGAAATGAAATCCCTAAGAAATGACTATGTCTGAGGGATTTGTTAGGAAACGTTTCCTAGGAACCCCGCTTTTTTCTAATAAAGGTTTTTCCGAAAAGTAAAAGCAAACATGCAAATGTTTATCAGTGTTTATGCTCTATACAATAGTATCCATATAAATATAAAAAAATAGATTTTTTTTATTTTTACGGTTCTCACTAAAATTTATGTTTCATTTGATCTTTTCTCTCTCTTTATATATATATATATATATATATATATATATATATATATATATATATATATAGGGGACAGTTCAAATAAAAACAGTAAATAGTGTGAGAACGTAAAAACATTTTTTTTATGTTATTATTCTGCAATGAATTTTGTATCGACAACTTTATGTCATTATTCAGCAAAGAATAATGAATAGTCAAAGGTTAAAATTAAATTAGAATTTACTACAAAATGCACATACATAAGTTTATAATAGAATAATAACATTGTAATGAATATATGACTAATCGAAAGTTAATATTTATATTAGAATTAGTTCAACAATACACATATACAAAATTCATTACAGAGTAATAACATAAACATAGTGTTTTTACGTTGTCACACTATTTACTGTTTTTATTTGAACTTACTTCTATATATATATATATATATTATAGATATATATATTATATATATATATATAGAGAGAGAGAGAGAGAGAGAGAGAGAGAGAGATAAGTTTTTTTGAGAAATAAAAATTTACCAGAACTTGAGAACTCATAATTTGCTTATCTTTTTTCAAAATTGAAAATAGAGATGGACTCCTAGACCAGCGACTAAGATACATGGTGAGGGGCATTGAGAGAGAGAGAGAGAGAGAGAGAGAGAGAGAGAGAGAGAGAGAGAGAGAGAGAGGAGAGAGAGAGAGAGAGAGAGAGAGAGCCTAGCATCTGATGCTTTGGTTGAAACTAAAAGCACCATTAGATGCAAGTATAGAACAATATGTCAAATCTATGTACAGCCCATGTAGAGTGATTATGATTATAACATATACATGGTATGTTATATTTTTCTCTTACCTTGAAGGAATTTATAAAGTGATGGCGTTATTAGTTCATCTGATCGAAATGCCAAAAATGCGTAATCATTAAAACCTCAGCAAAGGAATTGTTGGATTTAAAAAACCAGAAAAAATCGTTCATTCTTGCAAAGAAACTTTTCAAAAGATTTCACATTATTTTAGTTTAAGTACCATTTGGACATCATCAATTAATGCAGGAACCTTTTGAGTGGAAGAGGTCTAGTGTCCAAGTATTCTTTATGATTATTCAACTAAAATATCGTACTACAAGAGTGCTTAGGAAGTCAGCTCTTCCTTTTTCATATTTGGGATCATATTGCTGATTTTTAATTAGTAAACAAAGAATGGTTTTTCTATTAGATATCAAATTGGTAGTTTTATAATTAGTAAACAAGGAATCACAGGAGTTGGTAGATGTTCACGGGTCACAGTTTGACATACCAAAAGAAGTGTTGATAAATTAAAGAAATAGACCCAAAGAGCCCTCAATAATCAAATAACTGTTATTTCATATATATTTATTTATTCCGTGCAATTTGGACATGAAAAAGACATCTGATACACACTTTCTTTATCCAAAAAAGCATCAGATGTAGACGTTTGTAATAGACAGCAAAAGTTGAACATTGCTCCTTTTTTATTTTCTTCGGTCTATAATTCGAATACTATTTATCAACAATGATACATGCACGTTCTGATGACATAGATGCCATCAAGACGCGTGACATCTATGGTGCTCTCGTTGATTTTCACACAAGAATTCGAGATAAAACAAGTATTGATGCCTAAAAAATGTGAAAGATTCATAACATATCATGAATCAATTCTACATTAGAGAAGAAAACCATTATGAAACTATGTACATTACTGTGTGACTTAAAAGAGAATTTTGAGTTGAGAGAGAATGATCGATGCCATTATGCTATTAGTAAATGCTTCAAACTTTTTTGATGGGAGATTGAATTGACATGTGGTATATATATGGAAATCGATCCCGTACGTATAATAGAGGGAATGAATCGGCTCTTATTAGGTAATTGAACTTTTAAACTTCATAATGTTTAAGGGATCCGTTATGGTAATTAATTAAAGGCTAAAACTGTAATTTTACAAACCAATTATAAGAAAACAACATAAATATTGGGAAGCAAGCGTTGAATCGGTGAGCGTTGAGGAAACAAAGTTGTAAGGGGGCTCATTTTCCGATAGACTCCCACATTCCGCTCTCTCCTCTCGATTTTGATTAATACAAATAAATCACTGACAGAAGAGAGATTGTTCCCTCAGTCATTGATCCCGGGAAGCAAAAGATGAGGGGTAAAGGTAGTCAAAATAATAAAAAGGAATTGTTATAAGGAAAGTTCGTTAATTCCTTTTATTCATCGTTTTTGTTCAACGTGTCTCTAGATCTCCCACTCACTTGTTCCTTAAGTAGCTGTGTTGCAAATAGAATTGCTTCTTTAGACATTTGGATATACAAATGAAATTGCTAACGAAGAAACTGGTTCCTTTTAATATGCACATTATGTGTTTGATAAAATGTCTCAACAATATATATTGTTTACTTGTGGTGTTGATATTGCCCTAAACTGCTGGTTTTACTTTTGTTAAAAGGATCAATGGAATGCCAGGGAATGTTATGTATAAAATGAAATTGAAATGTAGCAAAAGCACTAATTGTGGCATATAATCCTAATTGTTATAAAGTTGAAGTCTAGAATAATGGGAAATTCAATCTACAAAAGCACTTTGATTTTATGTTTTAGGTAATTGATCTTTGTGGACAATATTTTAAAACTTGTTAAGTGGTATTGAAAGTCAAATCTTGGAAATATGATGTTACTTGTGAGAAATGATGTCAAACAATGCTTTATATTGACCAACCAAACTCGTTAGGTACCTAATCTATTTATGGTGTGGTTTGATCATTTTGGAAATGCATCATCAGTTTCATTGTTTTTGTTCATCTGAGCCCATAACAAAACTATAAAGCACAAGGGACTTGAGATGAATGACCATGCGACGATGCCACATCACATAGTTGGCATCATCAAGAATTACTGATATAGGGCATACTGCTCGTGAGAAATTTCATGTAGAATTATCACAACATATCAAGAGAAAACCAACAGTTATTTAGTTCTTTAATTAATTAATTGTATTTATTGTTGAAAACTTGAAATCTCATCGCCTACACATATGCGTAGAACAATTTTGTAAACATTCTAGAAAGGTAACAAAGCATTTACTACAGTTTCCTTTATCAATCGGTTTTCCAATAAGACAACAACAAAACTGCATCCACGAAATTGCCTCACTAGTGCAACAACGTGTCGAATTTTGTGTTAAATCTTCAATCCTACAAAGGCTACCTACACACAAAAACATGACACAAAATTTGGAAGTGATTTTAAATCGAAAAAGTTGGAAGTGATTTTAAATCAAAAAAATAACAATATATATAATAAAAATGTTATTGAAATAATATTCATAAACACAATATATATTACTAATATTCAATGTTATAAGTAATGATTGATTGCCACAGCAACGAAGAGCAAGAACGAATAAATCAAGTATGAAAAGGTCAAACAAGAATATATATATATATATATATATATATATATATATATATATATATATTTCAATCTAATTTAATAATAAGAAAATGTTATTCCTAAGCATTGGGCATGTTTTATAAGTTTTATCTTAATTCTAATTCAGTAATAAAAAAAATATAATGGGGTCATGTGCCCCTATCCAAAGACATTGGATATGCTTGTGTATAGACCATAAATTATTTTGTGAACTCAAAGACATGCTACAACCCGTGAATCTCTAATTTGCTCAACTTTTTTTCGAAACCAACACCACCAATCTCATCAAAATCCAACGTCAAAGGCAGATCCATACTCTAAAATAATATTTGACGAACTTTTTTTAACGTGTATATATATATATGCACATTTAAATGTGCATATGTATTCATATCAGCACATTTTCAATGAGACTCTAATTTCAACGTTTAAAAGAATTACAATTAAAAAATATCAAATAAATACAAAAACTAAATGTAATATATATATATAATATATATATATATATATATATATATATATATATATATATATAATATATAACCAAGACCAAATAAAAAGAAAAAATTATGGTACGAAGGTAAGAACATTTTTATATACATATTTTTTCAGCGAACCAACAAATAAATCATTAGACGAATCAAATTCACATGAAAAAAATTCTCAAAAAATACCTTTAATTTTCATTTTTGAGTTAATTAACAAACAATTTACTTTTATGACAGCTGTAGTGAATAACAACAAAATCATCATAAAAATGAATTTTTGGGAAATTTTTTTATGAATAATATTATTTTTGATTAATCTACTGATTCATTTGTTTTGTTCGACAAAAAAATATGCAGAAAATTTTTTTCTTACCTTTCTACCAGTAATTTCATTTTTAATGGATATATATATATATATATATATATATATATATATATATATATATATATATATGTTAGGAACATCTATGAACTCATAATTTCCTGAAAATCCGAGATATAATTTACCATATACTTTTTTTTCAAAAAAACGTTGATACAAGCCTTAATCGCTGGTTTACAAGGTATTGTGTTAGAAAAAAAAAAGTTGAAAAGAACAAGATCATTTTTATGTGAATATATACACATTTGTGATTTGAACATATGCAAATATATGGATCTGTAAAAAAATGTGTTTCTTTTCCTAAAAGAATTTCATTGATAGGGCTCAAATTTGTGCGACTAAGCATGTTAGAAACTTATTTTTTGAAATAAATATTGGTCAAAAAATAAATTTCAGTTCTCAGGAATTTATAGGTTCTCAAATGATCTCAGTTTTTTCTCTCTCACTTTTCTCACTTTCTCTCTCTCTCTCTTATATATATATATATATATATATATATATATATATATATATGTGTGTGTATGTGTATGTATATACATATATATAATGTATATCTTGAGTTATTCATTAAAACAATAACCTATTGAAGATTTTACCTGTAAGTAGGCATGCCAATAGAAGAGGAATAAATATAAGAATGATTTTCATGTCAAATTGAGTAACTAACAGATATATCATTTGGAGAACAAAACAACAATTTATACAATCTTTGCAACCAAAAGTAAATTATAAGCATCATGAGATTTGCATGAATATATAAACGTCGTAAATGCAGATCATGTGAATTGAGCATTGCGTTTTGTTTACTTTGATGTCATTGCTTGGATTTCGTTTTCTTAGATCTCAAGTACGTATATAATGTCTAAGGGTGGAGGGACTCATTCCCTTGAAACCCAGTCAACCACCGCCACATCAACTTTTCTCGTTCATCTATCTTCCATCTTTTCCAACCAGAAAACATGGAAATTATATCTTTTCCAACCCATTCAATTTTGAACAAAAATCATACAAACCTAATTCAAAAAATATTAAAAACACATCAAACTAATTTAAAAGCATATAAAGCTAATTTAAAAACATACAAAATTATTTGTGTACAAGTCTTAAAGGAAGAAGTACAAGTAGTCAATGCATGGGGGTTGTAAATGGTTGAACGGTTTCATAAACCCACTGAGATGACAATCCACTTGACTCGCTGCTTGAAGGAAATGGTGTCTTGGAGGTACCGACGGAACCTCCTTATTTCTCCATGGCTTCGTCGTCCGTAAAAAGAAATAAGTTGATTTAATTAAAAAATCATATGTTAAACACTTTTAATAATATTTTTTCGACATTTTTTGTTCTGTTGGCCGGGCAATCTTCTAGTAGGACCATCTATCTATCTTAGTCGATGGTGAAGGAGTCCAAGGGTGTTTTTTCAATTTTAAGAAAGGTTAAGCAAATTAGGAGTTATTGAAAAAATTTATGTTCTCTCTCTCTCTCTCTCTCTCTCTCTCTCCCCTCTCGTCTCTCTCCTCTCTCATCTCTCTCCCATCTCTCTCTCTCCTCTCTCTCGCTCGCTCTCTCTCCTCCTCTCTCTCTCTCTCCTCCTCTCTCTCGCTCCTCTCTCTCTCTCTCTCTCTCTCTCTCTCTCTCTGTTGCAAAAATCGATCTATGTGGCCGATTAATCGGAATCGGGTAGGGGCCGAGGCGCCTAATTAGGAAACTAACAAAAAAAATACGGAATCAGTCAAAATCGGCTCCAATTCAATCAAAATATGTCAAAATCGGAAAAATGGAATCGGTTAAAATCTCGGAAAAAATTAGAAATTTTAAGTTTTTATTAGATAAAAATATTTAATTGTTATTGATATTTATCTATTTTGTTATAATTTTTAATAAATTTGTTATATTTGTTATATATGTACATTATTTTCCTAAAATTAGTTTCATATAATTTATCCAATCTGCGTACTCGCCGCCTAGAATGAATACTCGATCTACGCTAGTCGCCCAAGGAACGTGATAGTCTCATTTTATTTACTTTTTTTTATAGTTTATTTTAGCGTACTTCATTCATAATTTAGATAATTTGCATGAATATTTTCTGTTTTGTTATTTTATGACTATTTCGGGTACTTTCTAGTCTCGTTAGCTTTATTGCAGATTTCATGGAGACTAGTGGAGCAGGAATGTTCGGGACGTATGGAAAACGATTGGACTTAAAGGACATCAAGAATTATGGGCTTGGTGATAATGGAGTCGATACATAAAATGGGCTTTAGATGGATGGAGCATGGAAGAAGATGGTCTCTTAATTAAACGAGGATGGAAGAATTTTTCAAGCGTGCGGGAATCAATAATCAGACAAGTATGTGAGCTATGGATGATTTGGGGAAGTCAAATTGGGCTTAAAATGAAGAAAACATGAAGAATATTGGGCAACAAGCTTAGTGGATTCGTTCTGGCAAGTAGGCTAAGTCATTGGAGGCCCAAATCACAAAAGAGTCCAAATTACAAATGAACCCAGCTCAGCACGCGGGTCGTGCAAGGCCCTGCATGGGCAATTCCAGATTTTTTTTGAGCTATGTGGGGAAGGTTGGTGTGCCACATTTCTATACTTTTACACATCCAATTTTGGAGTTTTTTCTCTGGAGATTTTGAAGGTTTTGAAGGCTAAGAACACCTCAAGAACATCATCTTTTCATCTCTAAATCTTGTTGAATGTTTGGTACAATCTTTTCTCATTTTTTTTCCTTGAGTTTAGCCATGCTAGGCTAAACTAAACTTGGTTGACTTTTGTGAAATCCTTTGACTATTTGTTGAATGTTGAAGACTCCATCAACTTGTTCTTAAATCTTTATGAGAATGTTTTGTGTTTTAACATCTTATTACTACTTGTATGTTTTTATTCATTAGTTTAAATGTGTTTGTGGTGATTAGTTGACTAATTTCTTGATTAAGTAAATGATCTTCAAATTAGCAAGCAACAAGTGATTTTGTGTTAGTTTTACTTCACACAATCATAAAAAAAAAAAAATTTAACATGGTAGTGAAAACATTTGACTCCTCTTGGATTTGGTGACTTTTTGGTTCTTAATACTAGTTGACTTTCACTAATTACATGCTTAATGGAAATTGTGCCTTTGACTTAGGAAATTGTTATGAGCTTCTCTAACCATTTTAATAACTAAGAAAAGTCTAGGTAATCACAAGCTTCTTGGATTACTATAGCCAAGTTAAAGATTTACAACAAGTATTACATCATTGGATTTTAATGATATGTTCATCAAAAGTCAAAGTGAGGAAATCTTAAGTCAACCATCTTTCCCTTATTGATTTTATATCAAATTCTTGTTTTTGTCGAAATTGTCCATTTAAATCTTAGTTTAATTCTAGTTTATTTCAAGTATTTCAAAGGACCAAAACCCCCCATTTTTATTTTTATTTTCATTTTACAAGTATTTTTACAAAGAGATTTATGATAGAGTTAGAAAACCGAACCAATCTTCGTGGATACGATCCCTTTACCACTATACACTATTTTAGTATGTAATATTAGGGTATTTATTTTGTTGGCCTCGACAACCACCAAATTTTGGCGCCGTTGTCGAGGATTGGTTTATTTTTAATAAATTTGTTTCTCTATGCCCAGACCTCAACGTACAGGTGCTTTGATTTATAATCCGGAAATTAAAAAAGAAACAAGGCGTTTGGCGAAGGAAAAGAGAATAGAACGTGGTCAAACTTCAAATCCTCACGAGGACCCGTTGGTTGAAACTGCTTCCTCAAGTGACACTGAACCCGATTCTAGCCCCGATCCTCCCCAAGAAATTCCCGAAACACCACCCCTACCACAAAATCCACCCATCTTAACCCCAATTACAATGGGGGACGGAGGAGAAGCTCCCGAAAGAACCTTGAGGCAAATGATGGAAACCGATGTTACAGAAACTCCAACCGGCATCAATTACCCCGTTTTGGAAGGAGGTTCGGAATTGAAGTCAAGTTTAGTTCATCACCTTCCAACTTTTCATGGATTGGAGAATGAAGACCCTCATAAGAACTTGAAGATGTTCCACATTATTTGCACTAGTATGAAGCCACAAGGGTCAACTGATGACCAAATCAAATAAGGGCATTCCCCTTTTCATTGGCCGATAGAGCAAAAGATTTATTATTCTATCTTCCATCGGGGTCAATCAACTCATGGACCGATATGGCAAGAGCTTTTCTTGATAATTTCTATCTCGCTTCAAGAGTCTCAAGTCTTAGAAATGAGATTTGTGGAATCCGCCAAGGTCAAAATGAGAATTTCCATGATTATTGGTAGAGGTTCAACAACTTATGTTATAGTTGTCCACAACATCAAATTCCGGAACAACTCCTCGTTCAACACTTTTATGAGGGGTTATTACCAATTGAGAGAATACTAGTTGATGCCTCAAGTGGTAGAGATATCTTTAGCAAAACTCCACAACAAACATGACAACTCTTCAACACCACAGCTGCAAACTCCCAACACTTTGGCCCACGCCAAGACATGAAAACAGATACGCAACAAAAAGTCAACGAAGTGGGGACATCGAACCTAGAGTCTCAAATCAAAGATTTAACATACGTTGTTCAAATGTTAGCCATGGGACAAACTCCACAAGTGATCGGTTGTGGAATATGTGCAACAATGGGACATCCTACGGATATGTGCCCCATTCTTCAAGAAGATGCAGAACACGTGAATGCCAGGGGAGAGTTCCAAAACTACCACAATAAACCGTTCGGTTACCAAAACGCATACAATTCAAGTTGGAAGCCAAATCCCAATATGAGCTACAACCCAATACCATTACCTCAAAATGCATTGGTTAGACCTTCCTATCCACCACAACAACCCCACTACCAACACCCACAACCTCACTATCAACCCAAACCACACCCTCAACATCACCAACAACCTCCTCAATCCCAACCAAGTAGCTCCGGAATGTCTCTTGAAGACATTGTCAAATCCCTTGCCACTAGTACCCAACAATTCTAAAAAGAAACAAGAACTCATATCTCCAACCTTGAAGCACAAATGGGAGATATAATTATATCTATAAGGAAGTTGGACTCACGTGGCAAATTACCTTCTCAAACCGGAAAGAATCCTAATGTCAATATAGTGGCATTGAGAAGTGGTAAACAAATCGGAGATAGTAGTTCAAAGAAGTCAAGGGAAGATGAGGAAGAAATAGATATCACTCGCCTTGAGGACCCTATTTTCAAGAATGATGCACAAGCCGGACTTCCAAAGAAATTAACCCTTCTATTGACTCCAATGGCCACTCAACCACCATTTCCCTCCCAACTTGGAACCTCAAAGAAGAATGCGGAGGAGAAGGAGATCTTGGACACCTTCCGAAAGGTGGAAGTAAACATTCCATTTCTTGATGCGATCAAACAAATCCCTAGATATGCAAAGGTTTTGAAAGAACTTTACACCAACAAGAGAAAATTGAAGGGGAATGAAAAGATTTCAATGAACGAAAATGCATCCGCGGTCTTACAAAGAAAACTTCCACCTGAGTGCAAAGATCCGGGAATGTTTACGGTTCCTTGTAAGACAAGGGATGTCACTTTTAGTAGAACCTTGCTCGATTTTGGTGCTTCTATTAATGTCATGCCCTATTCGGTATATGAGTCGTTGAATGTGGGTCCTTTAAGCGAAATGGGTGTCATAATTTCACTTGC